AATGGAGCAAATCAAGAAAGAGCTAAAAGCATTGAAGTTCGAGATTTTTTTAGTTGCGCACGCAAGCTTGGTTGCGTGCCAACTGCCTGCACGCTAGCAACAACTTGCGTGCACGCCAGTTACTTGCGACAAATTGCGTGCACGCTAGCTGCTTGCACGCAGCTACAATTTGAGGCAGCTTTAAATTAAATTTTTTTTTTATACGAGCTGGCCACGGGCTGGCCCTTGTGGCTCGTCGAGCCACACCTGCCGACCTGGGGCTCGGGCTCGAAGTCGAGCCCGAGCCCATAAGCTTTTTTGTCACCCCTAGTCTTAACCATCCATTGCTGGAAACATTGGAGTACAAATGAGAACCAACTCAAACCATATTATTGAGGGATAAAACGGTAAATAGATTTTACTTCGAGCCCGAGCCCATAAGCTTTTTTGCCAACCCTAGTCTTAACCACCCATTGCTGGAATCGAGCCCGAGCTCGAGCCCATAAGCTTTTTTGTCACCCCTAGTCTTAACCACCCATTGCTGGAAACATTGGAGTACAAATGAGAACCAACTCAAACCATATTATTGAGGGATAAAACGGTAAATTGATTTTGTTTGAAATGAACCACATATACAATGCCTTTTCAGTGAACGCTGTCGATATTATCCAAAAATCGATTATGGAGTGCCAGCCCAGGCTTAATAAAAAAATGACAAACATGGCCCACACTGTAGTGGCTAATCGATGACATCCACTATCAAATAATTTTAAAAAATCCATCATCATGAGCCACGTATAAATACAGTCAGCTACTGCCTTATCTATTTCAGGTTCTTTATAAAATCTCCAAAATGGCAAAAACAGAAATTCGATTAATCTCACATGAAGATGAAGAAGTTGAAATTCATGGAGATATTCTGGAAGCTGTACTCTCATACGTACCATTAATCGATTTGGTTCCAGCCTCCAGTGTTTCCAAGTCGTGGTGCTCCGCTGTGGCGTCCTCCCTCCGCCACCTCAAAAAGCCGAAGCCATGGCTGATCCTCCACAAGCAAACCACTCACTCGCCCTACACCGCCATCACATATACATACGACCCGTGTTCCAATCAGTGGACCAAAGTATCCATGCCGTCGATGAATTTCTTCTCGGCACTCAAATCTTCTCAATCCAATTTCCTTTACATGATGTCTTCTTCAAAGCTCTCCTTCTCGTTTGATCCGTTGAATTCAACATGGTGTCACGTTGATCCCCCGCTCATGTGGCGGACGGATCCGATTGTTGCACGTGTCGGGGATTCCGTGGTGGTTGCCGGCGGCGTTTGTCAATTCGAGGACGATCCATTGGCGGTTGAAGTGTATGACTTCAATACACGTGCGTGGTGCACGTGCGAGTCCATGCCGATGACTTTGAAGGAATCGGCAGCTTCAGCTTGGCTTTCAGTTGCGACTGCAAAGGGGAAACTCATTGTTACAGAGAAACAAACCGGTGTGACTCACTGGTTTGACTCAGAGACGAAATCGTGGTCGGTACCGTATAATCTGAATCCGGGTCAACCCGTTGTCAATTACTATATTGGGTCCTATGACGACGATTTGTTTTTGGTGGGTTTGTGTAAAAACGTTGAACGATTCAAGATTTGGAAAGTAAGTGCCGAAAATTTTTACTGCGAACAGATTGGAGAAATGCCCTTTGCGTTTGTTGAGAAATTGAAGAGTGAATGTTTTGGATTCTATTCAATAAATGTTCTTGTGGCGAGGAATTTCGTGTACATGTACAATTCGTGGGAGGTGGGGGAGGTAGTGGTCTGTGAACTGACAAGCGGCGGCGTTAACGGTTGCAGGTGGTGGAGCGTGCCAAAAATGGTGTCTCGTGATGGGATGTTGAAGGATAGATTAGTTTTCACATGTTCTGAAGTTGGGTTCGATGAGTTGCAACGAGTTATGAAGACGGATAACTGGAAATTTGAGGTAGTGAGTTCTTGAGAAAATGATGACTTGACTTGGTGGCTACTGTTCAAACCTTGCATAAGCTGAGTTGTGATAGCATTTTTTTTTTAACATTTTAGTGTAATATTAATTTTACATGATCCAATGTTGTCAGGAAAATTGTAAACGTGCATTTATTATATTTCAATAACTTATCTTTTCTGTGCATAAAATTGATCATAACTTCAACTTATGGAAACCAATTATGTAAAGTAAAAATGAGAAATGTATGAATATGAGTTTGGTCGAGGTAAAAGTTGAACTTTTTGTTTTTTATTGTGCCTTAGTTTTTCATCTACTTGATGATTTTCATCTTCTTGATGGCTTTCATTTGCAATATCGTAAATTCGTTTATCTGAGTTTACATTTTTTACTTTACAATGAAAGATACTTTCAAAGAAAGTAGCATTACTTGATTTATGAACCAAAAAATCGATGTGCAATACTATTGTTTGCATAGCCGATAAAGACACAATTTATTGTTTCCGGTCCAATCTTTACTTGTTTAGGTTTAGGTATTTACACATTTGCTAAACACCTCCACATTTTAAAATATTTGTAAGAAGATTTTCGACCTTTCTATAAGTCGCGAGGTGTTTCAACATTGCTCTTGTATGATATTTTATTAAAGATATGATTATCAAAAAAAAAAAAAGCTTTCCCCACTAGTTTTGAGGTAAGCTCGAACTTATTAAAATTGCATTCATCATTTCCTTAAGTATTCGATTTTTGCGTTCAGATACATCGTTAGAATGATGTGAGTATGATTCCAGATTCTAAACAAAAATTTACAAAATTTTCAAATGGTGTAACATAATCTCCACCTCGATCACTAAAAATTATCTTTATTCATTTTTCAAGTTGTTTTTTAACTTCAGTTTTGTAGTGTTTAAACACTTTCAAATTTTCATTTTTGCTTCTCAACGGGTATACATAACAATATCTTATACAATCACCTATGATTGTGATGAAATATTTTTTTTCCACCTTTTATTTGGAAAAACTTTAAATCACAAATATCGGTCTGAATAAATTTCAAAGGTGTTGTGTTTCGTTCAATCGAATAAGAAGGCGTAGCTAACTTAACCTCCGCACAATTCTTGCATTTTTCATTTGTATTAAAATATATGCTTGGTAATAAACTTTAATTCATTAACTTACGTACAAAATTAAAGTTTGTATGTCCTAACTATGATGCCATAAATTAGATTACTCAAGAAAATACGTAGAAGAATATATTTTATTCCTTGAGTTATTCGGTACAGTAGTAAGAACACTCATCTTGAATAATCCATCTTTTATATAGTTTTTGCCTAGATACATATTGTTCTTGGTAAGTATAAATTTATCAAATACAAAAACTAATTTAAAATCATTCTTGCTTAACTAAGAACCTAACGCTAAATTCTTACGAATATTTGGCACATGAAGAAAATTGTTAAGGTTAAGTGCTTTGCTCGATGTCATCCTCAATATTACTTTATCTTGTCCTTCAACCTTTGAACTTGAAGAGTTTCCCATGATCAGTTTCTCACTATCGGTTGAAGCATAAGTTGAGAACATTCCTTTATTGACACAAATATGACGGCTAGCACCTGTATTGCACACATCATTCCATGGGATTTCCAATGTTGTTTCATTCTAAGACAATGACAAACAAGTTTCTATCTGTTATACCATCAGACATGACATCAAATTCGGTGATATTCGCTTGGACTAGTTTCTTAGGGTTGCGACAATCGATAGAGTGATGTCCGGCCTTTTTACAATTATAACAATTGTCATTGAACCTCTTTCAATTCTTGTTACTTTCTTGTTTGAAGGGCTCGACGGAATGCTTCATCTTCTTGTTATTGTCATTTGATTCCACCACATTAGCCTTTACTTGTGATATATGACTTTCAACACGTTTGTTCGACTTTCGGTATCCTTTTCAATTCTCAACCAGATGTTGAGTTCTTCAATATTCATCTCGAATTGATTTTGAGATTTCAAATATACTACGAGCATCTACTAGAGTTAAATAAGTTAGTCTATTTACTTTCATAATTTGACTATCGGATCGTGTTCGAATACTTGATCGAAGTTTATACAAAATCAACTTTCCAAAAATATTTATACATGTCCAATGGTTAGGAAAAATTCTCATTTCTATCAATTCGTTGTTTGACTTGAATTAGTCCCAACTGTATCTGTTTCTATTACGAAAATAGAAGTTCATCATAATCAAAGTGAAGAAAGGAAAAGCAATGTATTTGCCTTTTCCAAACCATTAATCTACCGAATAATTTATTCCATCATATAATATGATTAGGAATGTCATTGTCTCGTGGAAGCTCATGCACTTAGAGATATTGCAATTTCATTTCCAAATAACACGTTTTCATGGATAATAGAGAAATAACACTTACCTCACATGGCAGTTAATATATCTCCAAAGGATGGAAATGAACCAATGCACTTGTTTATTTATTTTAAATCACGACTCGTGGATTCTATGTAAATGTACCTTTCCGAATTGAATAGGTACCAAATAACCAACTTATTTGGAATTGTAATAGTCGACACAAATCATTTCGACATAAATGTAGGCAACGGTTGATAAATGAAGAGATGCAAACTAATGTTCACAAAAATCCCATAACATGTAAAAGTGTACACATAAGCATGTGATAACCTGATTACTTCGACTTTTTATATGTATAATATTATGATTTCATCTATTTCCCATGCAGAGATTGCTTGTAAACAAATTGCATATAAAGTGCAGAGAATGCACGTCATAGAACATTTCAGATTCTAAACAAAAATAAGAAGATAAAATGCACAAATTTTTTTCCTAACAATCTTAAGACGATAATACTCCGCACAGGTGTTAACGATTTTTTGACATTCATCCTCCAAGATATAACGATCACGTCCCGTAATGAGAAAAATTCAAATTACGTAAACCAACAAATCTAGTTAAGTTTTGAACACTCTTTATATGAAATTCGACTTCATATAAATGCTAAAAACATTTTGAAGTGAAAAACATTTTGAAGTGAATATTCATTAACATGATAATGCAATGATGAAAAAATGAAAATGAATGAAAATAAACACATGGAATCTATATATAGTCGTTGAA